ACCAAATCTGTAGTGCCACTGATGAGGGGAGAGAGATGACTGAAGAGTTATTGCCGAACCACCTCCATCAAGATAATACAGTCCACCAGCTTCATGCCCTCCACCAATCTTCATCCCCGTCTTGAGATCATGAAACACACAAGAGGAAGGGTAAAGAGACTAAGTCAATTTACTAACAAACATCAGGTTAAAGGGAAACTTGGGAACATATAAAACTGAGGAGAGGGATAATGAGTCAGTGTCAACATTACCAACACCACATATGGCTGATGTAGAGCCATTGGCAAGAGTAACAGATTGGGAAGTAGAGGATGGAAAAATTGATGAAAACACACCTGGAGTTCCAGTCAAGCTCCAGAATCTATAATCCAACGGGAAGATGTGGATGCTAGAAAAGTCGTACCTGTGTGTGCAAGGGTAGTTGTGTTATGTTGAGATGTACCCTGAATGAACCGCTCATACTCATCCCGTGAAACACTCACCATCTCCTTTCTGGAAGTATCTGTAGATGTAGTGGGGATCTGATCAGTGACTTGAGATTCTTGTTTTGAGCTACTACCATTTACAGCTGCATGATTCGCCTAGGTTGAAGGTGGGCCATGGAGATCGTATCAAAAGTTGATAGTATGTCCCTCCATACCACAATGAATACACCTTCTCTAAGTATTACCATGTCCCCTACCACGGGCTCCCCCTGAGTCTCGTCCTCCAACACGACCACCACCACGATTATACATTCCACCACCACCATGACCATACATGGGTCCACCACCATTACCACGACCATGCTGACCTCCTCTACCACCACGACCTCCCCTCTCATAACTGCAAATGCAGACCTATTTGACATAGTGGAAGTCTCTATGGGTCCAACTGAAATCCTCTAAAGACGAGCAAACACTTCCTCAAGAGAGGGAAGAGCAGATCCACCTAATATCTGTGCCCTTACGGGTTCATACTCAGATTTCAGCCCTACTAAAAATCTGGTCACATCCAACTGGTCTCTTTGTTGTTGCTGAATTTTGACATCAAGCGTAAGAGGATGATAAACATTCAACTCATTTCGTAAATTTCTCATACTGCATAATAGTCCTTAAGACTCTAATTCTCTTGTTGCAGATTGAAGTACTCTTGGTACAGTTGGTAAACCCTAGTAGTGTTATCTTGTCCAGAATATAGTTTCCTTGCGTGATCCAAGACTTCCTTGGCTATATCTAAAAACATGAAGTTCACACTAATTTTGGACTCCATGCTGTTCCATAGCCAAGTCATAATTTGAGCATCCTCCTGCTCCCATTCATCATATCCCGGAGAATCAATTGAGGGTTTATCTTCCCCCACATGTTTCACTTTCTTTTTAGCTTTCAGAAAAACTTCAATAGACTTAGCCCAAGGGATATAATTCTCACCATTCAGTTTTATAGAGGTCATCTGCACATTCGGATAATCAGAAGGCACCATCACACTTGATTTGTATTCACTATTGTCTCCCATGACTACACAAAAAAATAGTGGGAGGTTGTACCACTAAATTGTTACTCTACTGCCCTAATAAATCACCACACTCCACACGAATGACTGAACACCACTAGGGTTCCTAGTACCAGGTTTCAGCAGCAACACTCACAACTATTCACCACTGTTTCAGCAATAATATTCACAACTGTTCACCACTTTTAGCAACAACACTATTGTTGTCGTTTACTGTTAGCACTAGAAACCCTCACAACACACCTCAAGAATAATATTTTCAGTTCTGCAACATATAAAAGAAACTTGCTACATACCACAACTTAGTTCGAAGATCATGTACCTGTCGAGTAGAGGGTACCAAGTATACACTGTCACCATCACAAAACCATCCCTCTTCGAATTGTGAGTAGAGGGTTTTCTACCAACCACACAAAACCACAACGACTGCACTCATTGGAGGCATGGAAACCCCAAAAAGGAGAAAACGACCAGTCCTTTTCTTCCTTTCTGGAAAACACTCTAAATATCAATGAATATTCTGCAAAACCCTAGAGATGAATGCGTAGAACAGAGAGAAAAGGAGACAATTGATCTGAACTGATTATCGTGGCTCTGATACCATGATAAAACTCAGATTAGATGTTCGTATATGTTCAGATCAGAAGAAAAAGAAGAAAGAGAGAGAGAGAGAGAGAGAGAGAGAGAGAGAGAGAGAGAAGGAGAAGGAGAAAGAGAAGAAGAAGGAGAAAAGTCACAGCCGAACTAGAGAGAAAAATCTCAAAACCTCTAGTTGGCCCTTCTTTTATTTATACTCTTCTAAGATATACAAGGATTACCATTGTGCCCTCACTTAAGTGAGGGCCACATCAACAGAGCAATACATATACAACTAAACATAAAAGGACTGTACTACCCTTGTACAGCTGACTCTAACACTAATTTTCAATATTTTTTAATAATTTCTGACTTGGGTTTTTTTTAATAATAAAATACTATTAATTGTACTTTTTAATTATTTTCAGTAAACACCCTTATTAATATAAAATATTGTTAATTTTCAATATTTTTTAATTATTTTTAGCAATTCAATTGTGTTTATGTTTTTTAGATTTTTTTAGATTTTTACTTAATTGTTGTTATTTTAAAACTATCAATTAATATTTTTTATTAGTGTTTAGTAAGTTGGATTTTTAAGTGGATTTGAAACACATTTTTAATATTTACTAAGTTTTGTTAATATTTATTTTTAGTGAAAGTTTAGTGGATTTTTAAATTAATAATTTTTTTATCGTTTGACCTCAACCTATTTATATTATTTGATTTATATCATGGTTTTCAAAACTGGACCAGACCAGAAAAACTAGGAACCAGTCAGCTGACTGGTTCCATTTTACTCCAGAACCATTATTTCCCCAAAAACCGTTGATTTAGTCAGCAAACCGCTAACTAGGGCAGTCAAACCGTTTGAACCATCAACGATTTTGGCCGTTTTTTATTTTTTGTGAGAACGGGTCTTTGTTCGGTTCGAATGGTCAGACCGTTCGACCCGGGAACCGGACCTCAAACCAGTTTGATTTTAAAAACCTTGATTTATATTATTACTATTTTCTCTCTCTCTCTCTCTCTCTCTCTCTCTCTCTCTCTCTTAAATGTAATAACAACATATAATAAAATAAGAGGCCTTTGAAAACCCAAAAGTCTCTCTCTCTTAAGTGTATTTTTTAAATGTAATAATAACATGCATTAAAATAAGAGGCCTTGGAAAACCCAAAGGTCTCTTTATAATAGTGTGCAACTTTATTAATCTAATCAAGATAGGCAATGATTACTGTTTTATATTTTTAAAACAAAAGAAAATAAGAAAAAATATAAAAAATGGAGAAAATAGATAAATAGCTTCTCTCAAAGGAGAGACATACTAACATGGACCGTCCAATTTTAATAAATATAGATAGATAGATAGATTTTTTTAAGGCAAGCTTTGCATCCTATGATAAAGTTAATTCCCTTAGGCTATGTTTGGTTTGAAGGAAAAAGTAGGGAAAGGAAGGGAAAAGTAGGGAAACCTTTACAAAACATATATAGATTTCCCTACCTTTCTCTTCCTTTCCTTACTTTTTCCCTCAAACCAAACATAGCATTAAGTATCACTTATCTAGATAAGTAATACCCATATCTTAGGTGGATAAATAATTTTTTCATTTGGGGGAAAGTTTACAAAAACATAATGGGACCTTGCCCATTCTAACATTGGCTTTTTATGGGTAAAAAAAGTTATTATATAACTTACCTAGGAATCAAAAGAATATGGATATGTGAACTTACTTGGATAAATGTTTACTTGGATAACTGCCCAAGGTAAGTGACCTTTTGAAAAACAAACAAGGCCCAATAAATAAATTTTATGTCCACCAAAAAGAAAGATCTCGGGCCTTATATATTGATATAAATAAACGTTGTTTTCTTGTAAAAAATACTACATCTCAATTTATGGCTGAATTTTTAAGGGCAAGGTTTAAAAAATCAGATCGAACACGGAATCGTTTTTATCACTAATTCCCGAGTCAAACGGTCTGACCGTCCAATCCAAACAAATATATCATTTTAATTTAAAAAAATTAAAAAATATATATAATTAAAATAAAAAACAACAAAAAACTGTTGTCTGTATCAATTAATCAGCGGATCACTGACCAAATTGGGTGAAATGAAACCGGTTACCTGATCGATTCCCAGGTCAATCGGTCTAGCCGTCCGATCCGGTACAATTTTCAAAACCATGTTTAAGGGTAATATAAAAGTTGACATGAACAAAGATTCCTACCATCAGAACTTATTGGCCGGTAGAGAAATGTCCAATTAATGGTCAAGGCAGAAAAGTTTATCCTCCGTCTTGAAGCATGGGATACGTCATAAATTATTGGGTCCATACGTTTTTAACTTATGGCTGAGTTTTGGGTAATAGAACAGTTCAGCCAACAAACTATTGGACGGTGGAGAAAATTTCTCCAGAAGCTTTAATTTCCAACTAATGGTCAAAGCAGATGATTCAATATTGATTTAATTCAGTTGATTTTGGGCATGTGTATTGTTGGGACTATTCAGTTATCTTCATTCTTGAAGTATGGGATATGTTTTTTGAAGTAAGGTTGGACAACGAACCGGTTAGGGGTTTGGCTCCCGAGTCGAATGGTTTAATAGTTCAAATCGAATGTATGGCCTGTTCTGACAAAAAAATAAAAATCAGTCAAACTGTTGAATGGTTCGACCACCCAGATCACTCATTTATTGATCAAATCAATAGTTTTGGAGAAATAACGGTTCTGTGGTAAAATAGAATCGATGACCTAAAGTATGGGATATGTTTTAAGTCTGGTTTAAGTCCGGTTTTGAAAACCATGTCTTGAAGTATGGGATACGTTTTAAGTTTTTGGGGGCCCATACCCAAGACTATCAATTCTTATTTGTAGTACAGCACAGAGGATCCTTGGCTCTATATATTAATGTATTTTTCCACATTCCTTCACAGTCACAGGCCCATTAGGGAGCAAATGGAGTGCTACTCTTATCGGGTCAAATGTCCATTAACTTTCTATCTCCTGTTTTCATGCCTTATTTCTCTTTCACTTGCACAAAGTGCAACCAGTAATTTGCCGTTTAAAGCCGTGAATCTAGGAGGTTGGCTTGTCGCAGAAGGGTGGATCAAACCATCTCTTTTTAAAGGAATTCCTAACGGGGATCTCTTGGTATTGATTTTCCCCCTTTCTTTGTTTAATCCGTTATATAGAAATTAACTAGTTGTTAATTACTTTTTAGTTGCTGTGAAGGCGACATTGATTAATTGGATTTATCAGTACTGTACATCTGTTCTTCCACGATTTTGTCGATTAAGCAATAACATTTAACCCAGCAGGACTGAAGACTGATAACTTACGGGTTTTTTTTTTTTTTTCCTTTTTTGCTAGGATGGAACTCAAGTGCAGTTTATGTCTGGGAAGTTAGGGAAGTATCTTTCTGCCGAGAGTGGTGGTGGGACGATCCTGGTTGCAAATAGACCGAATCCCTCCGGCTGGGAGACTTTTAGGGTGGTTCTCAGTTCTCACTTAACTTCATACATGAACATGATTGTGGTTATTTCTTTTCTTTTCTATTAACATTTATAATATATATAGTACAGAAGATGATCTATTTAATTAACAATCCTTGGTGTGCAGTTGTGGAGGATCAATGAATCAACTTTTAATTTGAGAGTGTTCAACAAGCAGTTTGTGGGACTGAATGGCGGAAACGAAGTTGTTGCAGTTTCAAGTGAAGCTGATACGTCTGAAACCTTCCAGATTGTGAGGAAGGATGATGATCCAAGAAGGGTTCGTATTAAAGCACCAAATGGATTTTTCTTGCAGGTACTACGTACAATACTTCCATCTCCATGCATTTATATTTAAGTAATTTTTCCTTATTTAATTGGTCATATACAATGTTTTAAAAGCCGACCGGGAACTGAAACTGCTTTGGCCACGTTTTCAGGTCAGTAGACCATCTGGTATGTATGATGTTTTAAAAATCTAGTTTCTAGGTCAGTCGTTTGATCGTCCACATGAATGGATGGTCCCTTGTAGTTTAAAAAAATAAAAAATTAATTAAAATAAAAAATAGTCAAAAATTATTGGTCGAGTCAAATGGGTTGATGGTTCGACTGTCTGGGTCATTGATCAAATCAATGGTTGGACCATCCAAATCAACGGTAGTTTGAAAACTATATATATACATACACAAAAAAGATTATTGGAGTGTTTATTTATTTATTTATTTATTTAATTATTTATGGTGATTCCTCACAAACGCGGCATTGCCCAGATACCATGCCAAACACACCACCCCCTAGCTAATTGGCTCAACTTTTGATGATGAATTTGTAAGGTCTTATATATATATATATGACAGCTCGTCAAATTAAAACCAAGATATACTATGAAGGATTTTGTTTCCTTAATATTGCTTATTTAAGAACCTAATGTATCCTGCTTTTTTTAAAAAAAAAACATGTTGTAAATAGGCAAAAACAGAAGCGTCGGTCACAGCTGATTTTCCAGTTGATACGGATTGGAGAGATGATGACCCATCTGTGTTTGTAATGACGATCATTACCATTCTGGAGGGTGAATATCAACTGACAAATGGTTATGGACCAGAGAGAGCCCTTCAAGTTATGAGAGTAAGATAATTCTCTAATATACCATTGTATTTACAGCAATAGCAAACAGAAAATCAATATTAGTCTCGCAACTCGCATGCAGGATTGATCACCAAACAATTAAAATCTATTATATATGCATCGATCTCAGGAACATTGGAGCACTTACATCACGGAAGAGGATTTTATGTTCATGTCAGAGAATGGTCTCAATGCTGTAAGGATTCCAGTTGGGTGGTGGATAATGAGTGATCCAACTCCACCTAAGCCTTTTGTTGGGGGTTCTTTGGAAGCTTTGGACAATGCTTTCACCTGGGCGCAGTAAGCACCGTAAATCAAGTTTGATCTTTTCAATGAATTCTTTAAAAGGAATAATCTTGTAATGGGTTCTTAGTAATAAACTGAACATTTTGCAGGAAATATAATATGAAAGTGATAGTCGACTTACATGCAGTTCCGGGTTCACAGAACGGTAATGAACATAGTGGAACAAGAGACGGATATGAAGAATGGGGAGACTCTTACATACAAGAGACTGTTGCAGTTATAGACTTCCTAGCAGCCAGGTTCGATTCATGAAGTCTCCTCTGATCTGTATACATTGTATGATTGATTATTTCTTAATTTGGTGCATAATTATTCAATTTAAGTGGCATTGATCATCATCATCATCATCATCATCTAAGCATGCCATATCTTAAATTATTATGAGTGTTTAAATCTAAATCGTTTCCTACTGCTTTGACGAGTACTGATGTGCTTTTCCGTCTGCCCCGGCCTAGTCATTCTAGTACCTTCAACTTGTAACAAATTATTTCTTCGATTCTATACCTTTTCTACTGTCTCTCATTTTATCACATATATATTAGAGCTGTTTCTAACTAGCTAAGTTCCTTCCGGTCATTTCAGTAACATTGATAAGCTATATATATATATATATTCCAAATTGTTGACGCATTAATTAATTTACAGATATGGTAATAAACCGAGCTTTGCTGCAATTGAATTGATGAATGAGCCTGTCGCGCCTGGAGTCACAATTGAGGACCTAAGCAAGTACTACAAAGCTGGTTATGATGCAGGTAGGAAGTACTCCTCAAGTGCCTATGTGATTCTCTCCAACCGGTTGGGGCCTGCTGACCGACGAGAGTTGCTTTCACTTGGGCAGAGCCTTAGTGGATCAGTCATCGACGTGCACTACTACAACCTCTACTCGGACAAGTTCAAAAACATGAATGTGCAAGAGAACATTGATTTCATCTACAACGAACGGGCTGCTGAATTGAGTGATGTGACCACACCCAATGGCCCCCTTAGCTTTTGTAGGCAAGTTTTTAGGATTTGATGATCTTCAAATGAAATTATTCAAAACTAGTGCTGCTCAATGCTCATGATAGGGAGGACGGAATTTATTTGCAGGGGAATGGACTGCAGCGTTGTCAGTAAATGGAGCAAAGATGGAAGACTACGAAAGCTTTGCAAACGCCCAACTAGATGTATATGGACGAGCCACGGTTAGTACTGATCGAGAATGCTCTGCACGTACGGCAGGAGCCATGTCCCCCTTGATTAGCGATGGAGTGTCTGCTCGTGGCTTGAATGCTCATAGCTGCAGGGTTCTTAATTATTGTTGGTGATTCATGATTGTATTGTATGACCGTCATTTAGTTGATGAATAGCACTATCACTCGCAAACCATGGCACATTCAACCCACTATCGTTAATGCTTGGTCTTTATTGTCTTCTCTGTTTCCTACTATTTGCTTTCTTGTGTGTGTCATTCTAGTAATGGAGGTAGCCCATGCGCTTGCGTTCCATGCTTGTGGACTATCCTCCCTCTTCAGTTGTTTAGTCAGAGTGTCCTCCAAATTGTATTAGTCACCTCTGTCAAATTTAATTTTTATGAACTCTACGAGAAACCATGGCAAATCTACACTTTATGATAACTTCGATAGATAGATTATTGATTTTGCTAGGTCAATACTTGGGAAGTATTAATTATTAAATCTCTCGTAGTTCTTGAATCCTTCAAAGAATTGGTTCGCTGCTCAACACATGAAATCCCTCCCCAAACCAAATGTCTCAAGTAATACAGGCTTCGATATGATGACCTCTATCCATGACCCGATGTAACCAGCGGCGAAGGGAGGTTGTAATGGCGGAGAGACAAGTGGTGTCAGACTCATGATCTAAGACGATAGTTGTGCTCGAGTTCCTTTGATCAGATTCAGATCAGCCATAGAAGTTCAGATCATTAAGTCATGGATAGAAGGTGCACCCGTTTCTTGGTTTTCAGGGGTCCTGACAATCAGATGCAGTTGGATCCGTTTCATGGCGCGTAACACAGTCGAAGGACAGCTGTTAACTACAGACAGTCATGGCGACACTACAATCTTCCGGAACAGTCACCCAATTTAATTCTAGCAGCATGATTTGGTACTCATCATTTCTTTCTCTCGGAGTAGAGATTTAATGCGACACTTTCATTCGTGTAGGACACGTTGCATTTATTTCTCATGCAAAATCAACGGAACCAAGTATCAGGAAGTATTTCGAAATCCTTATGATATTGGTTCTCGTTATATGTTCTCGTTACTATTTGTTATTGTTATTTGAACTAGTTTACATGCTTTGCTTTAAATAGTTGACTGTTTAGTAGATTTTTTCTGTTTCTTATCATTTCGTCTCTTCGTTCGTTACTTTTCTCTCTCCTTCCTTGTTATTTCCTGATCTGTTTTTTTTTCCCTTCCGTCCTCTTTTCTTGTTTTTTCTCCCGTTTTTTCCTTTGAACCATGGAAAATATTAAAGCGCTTAACCAAGCATTTCAGAACATGCTCCAAGGTAATGGTCCAGGGGCTGTTGATGTTGTTAATATCCAACCTTTGGTCCCTCCTAGTGTTCATGAGGCATGGAGCCTCTCCCTCATCTGTCGTCTTTTTCCCAGGCTAATTGACCAATTTGAAGAAGTTGTCCAAGGACTTTATGAGTTGTGGAACCTCAATCCAGATCGGTTACTCTTAGCTCTTTTCCACAGAGGTCATTTCTGTTTAAACTTTAGGTATGAAGAAGATTATAATCATATCCGTAATGAAGGTCCTTGGACTCTCAATGGATAGTGGATCCTCATGGAACCGTGGGTTCCTGGTAGACCCCAGTATTCTTGGAATATTCAACAAATAGAAATTTGGGTCCAATTACATGATCTTCCGTTTGAAATTCTCTCAGCGGATGTTGGTCATCCTTTGTTCGAACACATAGGGCCCACTAGGTTTATCTCTATAGTTCAAAATTACATTCTTGCAAAGGTTACCATCTCAGTAGATAGACCTCTTAAATCTGGTTGTTTTGTCGGCATACACCAATGGTTTACATATCGCTATGAAGATCTTCCACGGATCTATTATATTTGTGGAAAGATTGGTCATCAATTTCGGCATTGTTCGCAGCCTATGCCCCGCACCAACAATCTGTCCTATGACCAATATTTCAACATGAGAACTATGAATCACCTAGGACCTTGGTTAAAAGCTGAACAAACCCTGCGGAGGACATGGAAAATACCACTATTTAGTGACTTTGTTGAGTTGCTACCTTCCACCCCTCCCCACAATATAAACCTTCACCACGAAGATTACTCCTCATTGCCAACTGATTTAGTGACTCGTGCTCCAAATCCAGTGTCTCCAGCTACCCAGTCACCTAATCTTTTGGTAGTGGCCTCTTCATCCAATCTATCTCATGTCAGAGTTTCTGATGCTACTTTCATTTGGTTGAATGTGCCCAATCTCTCATGAATTGTATTCTAGATGATCAACCTAGGCCTTCTTCTGGTATCTGAGGTAAAAGAGCTCATGTAGATCTTCTCTCAAGCCTTCAGATTGAATCTAACCTAAATCTTATCCCTACCTTTGGTCGTTCTAATGTGTCAGATCCTACTTCCTCCTTTGATCGAATCATTAATATGGACAATTCATCACCTCGAGACGTGGACTCAGATACAGAGCACAAGGAGTTGATAATCTTTAATTTCTATCTCTTTTTTCTTTTTTTATCTCTGTGGGTGGAGGTGGCTTGCCCAATTCAGCCCCACCCGTATCCATGTTGATCATAAGTTGGATCTACCGTGGGGCCTCTCGTCCCAAGGTAGTTCAAGGACTAATGGTTTTTGTCTCCCGTTTCAATCCAAATATTATTTTGTTATGTGAGACCAAAATCCATGAATCTAAATTAAATTCATTAATTAATACTCTACGTTATCCTAACTCTCTTATAATTAATCTTAAAGGCTGAGCAGGCGGATTAGTAGTTATTTGGAAAGCTGCTTTAAATGCTTCTGTTTTTTGCTCCAATGCTAGGTATGTTTTCCTGAAAATTCACTCTTTTGTTTAAAATTGGTTATTAGGATTTATTCATGGTTCATCAGTTAGACACAAAAGGAATGTTTTCTAGAAGGATATGAATAGCCTATTATAAACAGTTAATCTTCCTTTCCTTTTAATGGGTGATCTTAATGAAGTTGCATCCATAGATACTTCTCATCCTACTTTTTCCACTTATAACATTTATCATCTCACCTCATCTCAATATAGAAACTTAATTTTAAATCATAATCTTCTGGAACTTAACCTCTAAAGGGGAGGTCCTTCTTGGACAAGTAAAAGAACAATAGGCCACATCCATCTAACCTTAGATAGAGCCATCTTATCTCTAGACTGGCTCCAATTATTCCTTGATACCTCTCTTACTTTAGGATCAAAATGGGGGTCTGATCATCATCCTTTGATTTTAAATTTACATCCCCAACACCAAAAATTACCTAAACCTTTTAGATTTTTTGAGATGTGGCTCTCAGATGAATCTTGCAGACATGTTATAGAGGAAGGTTGGAAAATTCAAGTACATGGTTATGTAGCTTTTCGTTTCACTAGGAAGATGAATAAAATTAAGAAAAATTTAATTCAGTGGAGAAAAATTCATTTTGTTGACCCCAAATAAAAAATACACTTTAGAGAACTGAATTATTCAGGCTGAACAATCAGAAGACCACCCATTGATCCAAAGCCTGTACAAATAGTTAGAAGAGGCAAATTGGTAGTTAGAGAGTTTTTGGAGGCCTAAATCTCGCCACACATGGCTGCATTTGGGAGATAGAAAAACCAATTTTTTTCATAAGAGTACTCTCTGTAGAAGAAAAAAGAACTATATTGAAGGAATTAAGGATCGTTCCAATCAATGGAAATCAAACCATCAGGAGATAGCAAATATTTTTGTAGACTACTTTTAAGATCTTTTCTCTTCCCAAGAAACCTAGGAAATTGAAGACCTACAATCCCTTTTCCCACCAATAATTACTCAAGAGGACAATACTATGTTATTGAACATCCCCTCTGAAGAAGAAATCAGATAAACTCTTTTCGGTATTGGAAGTCTAAAATCCCCTGGGCCAGATGGGATGCCAGCTTTGGTATTTAAGGAATGTTAGGACTTTATGGGAATAGAAATTGTTCAGATGGTTCAAGAATTTTTTTTTAGGAATAAGAAATTACTCAGGAGACTAAATCACATGTTTATTTGTCTTATTCCTAAAAAAAATGGTTGTACAAAAGTCTAGGACTATAGGCCTATTAGCTTATGTAATGTCACTAGATCATAGCTGAACTGATAACCACTAGGCTTCGGACTATTCTTGACAAATGTTTAACTCCCAATCAGGTAGCTTTTGTCCCTAGATGTCACATGTCTGACAATACCATCCTGATTCAGGAAACTTTTCACTACCTGAAACACAAAAAGCATGGTACAGTCTATATTGTTGTTAAACTTGATATGTCAAAAGCCTATGACTGCCTATAGTGGAGCTTTCTTCTAAATATTTTGTCTTCACTAGGTTTCTCTGAGGATTTGTCACCTCATTAAGGAATGCATCTCCTCAGTTTCTTACTCTATCCTGATTAATGGTACACTGGAAGGTCATTTCTGTCCCACTAGAGCCTTAAGACAAGGAGATCCTTTATCTCCCTATCTTTCTATCCTAGCCATGGAAGGGCTAAGCCGTCTTTTATATCAAGCTAAGGCTGAAAATAAACTCAAAGGAATAACTTTATCTGCTCACTCCCCAACCTTTTCGCATCTTTTCTTTGTAGATGATGTTATGCTTTTTTAAGAGCCCATTGAGAAGATTTGGATAATTTGAACCTAATTCTTTCTAAATTTCAGAAAGCTTCAGGGCATTTAATAAATTTTGAAAAATCTGGATTCTTTTTTAGCATAAATATTCATCCTTGCCATCAGAGAATGATCAAAAGACAGCTCCGTATAGGCTCCCTTAACCAAAACTCAAAATACCTTGGCATTCCTCTCCTCTGGTCTCGTAATAGACATAACCAACTTAGTTATGTTTTGGATAATCTGAAAGCCAAGTTAAATAGTTGGCGAGCATCAACCAAAAGTCAAGCTGGTAAAAAGGTCTTGATCCAATATCTCCTTCAAGCTATTCCTATCCACTCAATGAGTATAATCCAATTTCCCAAGAAAACTATTCATAAAATAACAAAAATAATAAAAAAATTCTGGTGGAATATTTCATACTCTCGTAAACATTGCTATCATTGGTGTTCTTGGAATACCCTATCTTTGCCAAAGATGTTTGGTGGTCTTGGTTTCAAGAATCTCACTCTGGTAAATCATGCCCTACTCAAAAAATTGTTTGGAAATTTTTGAATGAACAATACAAACTCTAGGCACAAGTTTGGAAATCGAAATACCTTAAACCAGAGAACATTTTTCCTTACACCACGTCTTCTAATGCTTCTGCTTGCTGGAAGTGAGTCTATCCAAAACTTTATGAATTGGTTTCTGAGGTAGGATATCTGATTAATGAGAATTCTGACTTCCTAATTTCTCAATATCCCTGGGTTCAATCTACAGTGGATTCCCTTTCCCATTTCTCCTCAGTGTAGAAATCTTCATATTTCTTCCCTCTTTTCTGAAGGTCATTGGAATCCTCTCATAATTAATCAACACTTCACTAGGGAAGAAGCTTTGAAAATGTTACAAACTCCCATCTTCCCCTCTACTAATGATCTTCACTGGATTTGGTTACAGCATAAATCAGGGAATTACACAGTAAAGGAGGAATATAAAATTAAACAGAAAAATTCTATTCCTCAAATTCTAGATGAAGTTAAATTCTACCTTTCAAAGATTTGGAAGCTGTCAGCTCCTCCAAGATATCAACTTTTCTTGTGGTGAATTCTCTACAACCTTATCCCTGTCAAAAGTTCTCTTTTTTCTGTTCCTCAAGACAAAGTTTGCATCCTTTGTAACCAATTTGAAGAAACTGCTGATCATCTTTTTATTTAATGATCTTTTGCTCATGTTGTCCTCTTTAATCAAATTCAGGACAATCAATTTTTCCTCCAAATTTTAAATTGGTTTGCTATTTTCTACTATTATATATGGAATGCAAGAAATAGAAAGATTTTTGGAAATAAACAAATCCTTCCTATGCACATCCTATCTACAGTCAACAAAATTTTTCAAAAATCTTCTTAGCCTGCTGATTTGGAAAATTCATTGTCATCTACCTCCCACAACAATATGTTAAATTTTTCCCTCAATGGTACTACTGAATTAATCATTTTTGCTGATGCAGGAAAAATTTCTAACTCTTCTTTTACATTCGGTATTGTGATTTTAAATACAAATCTTCAATGCTTAAAAATTATTGGAGGAAGAACATCCCAGTCTACTACCATTGATCAAGCTGAACTCTTTGCAATCTTACAGGTAATTATGGAGTTACAAGATTGGCATAAAAAAGACATCTATATTTTCTTGGATAATCTTCAAGTGATCCAAGCTCTCCAAAAGGACTCTCCCTTACCTTGGTTCTGCCATTGGTTTTTGCAAAGAACCAAGTTTTTAATTTTTAGTCTAAATGTTACTGATCTGTTTAAACATGTAAATCACACTTTTGATACTCCTGTTCATAAGGTTTCCCTACAGGCAAAAACTCATCCTTTGCCATATTTTGAATATAGTGACTATCCTGAAGGATCCCAAGAGTAGAGCAGTTTGTAAATATTTCTTTGGTTTAATATATATTTTGTTTATCTTCCAAAATAATATATTAAATCTCTCATGCCTATTTTAAAATATTCCCCCTAAAGGTTCCTTAGGTCTCATTTTTTTTACAATGTAATCTTATTTGTCCTAGTGCAAAAGTATGAGAACACAAAGGAGTTAAGTGCAGATTTTGGTTTATTTTTGTTTCTATTTATACTTTGCTTCATTTATAAATGTAGATGTAGTCAAACAAAGGGTGCATTATAGATAAGTACCTTGTATTTTGGGAATAGTGACAAATAAGTACCCTGAACTTTTAAATGCAACACTTGAGTACCCTAAACTCTTAAAGAAAGGCACACTAGTCCAACGGTTAATATTTTGTCAATTATCCACAATATGTAAAGTCATGTGTGACTTTAAATATTACAAAATACCAAAATTACCCTTCTTATATATTTTCACTTTGCTTTCTTCTATGGCGACATTAATGTTGGATGTTCTTTCTCAGCGATAGCGTTCTTAGGTGGACAACAAACTTAGGCAAGCCTTATCTAATAACAAATTCAAAAAGGAGTAGATCCAGGGATTTTAATGGTGTTGTGTTTTCTGGCAATCGTTTTAATTTATATTGGCTTTTTTTTCCTGGGTTAACTCGACATACTTCTTTTCAATAATTGGATTTGGCATATCTCCCTTCAATTCGGGTTTCCTCCTCACACCCACCTCATAGCATTTTTTTAAAGCTTAACAAGGCATAATTCATTGATCATATGCCTGGATTACAATTTAGAATTAGACGATCCCTGAGAAACTCTAAAACTCTTGCCCAAGTTTGAGTATAAAGAATTGAAAGTGCAAATCTAGCAATAGAATGGGAAGCCATATTGATAGACCTAGGAGCAAATAACACTGAACATTTGGGGAGGCGATGTACCTACAATCAACAAGGTTACTGATAATCCACCATGGAGGAGTAACACACACACACACACACACACACACACACACACACACACACACACACACATATATATACATATACATATATTTGCAATCACCTCACAATGTGTTGTATCTGGAACATCTCCTACTTGTATGTTTTTATTGATGGGAAGATGTTTTCAATGTATGACTCTAGGTGTTGTGAGGGGGGTGTTAGTAGGATTTAGTGAGGACTAAGGACAAATTCCAGATGGGGCTCCCTGCCACATTGAAATCTTCTACAAGTTAAAACTCTATATACATTTTGCAAGCATGGCATCCAAATTGCATACTGGGAACATCCTTGTGTGAATTTAACACATCTAGGAGAGATATTTTTCGACAAATGATTGCATGCATGTGTGCAAATTGTTTGGTTGTAGGAGATCCGGGCTCCTATGCCCTCCATGATCCCAAACCCAAGACAATTTTAGTGACAACATACAAAAAATCCAATTTTAGTGAAAAGTGAAAACCCAATTACCCAATTATTTTGTTTCTAGTTATACCTTGTTTCATTTATAAATGTGGATGTAATCAAACAAAGGGTGCATTATAGATAAGTACATTGTACTTTGGGAGTAGTGACAAATAGGTACCCTGAACTTTTAAATGCAACACTTGAGTACCCTAAACTCTTAAAGAAAGACACACTACTCCAACGGTTAATATTTCATCAATTATCCACAATATGTAAAGTCATGTGTGACTTTAAATATTACAAAATACCAAAATTACCCTTCTTATATATTTTCACTTTGCTTTCTTCTATGGCGACGTTAATGTTGGGTGTTCTTTCTCAGCGATAGCGTTCTCAGGTGGACAAACAAACTTAGGCAAGCCTTATCAAATAACAAATTCAAAAAGGAGTACATCTAGGGATTTTAATGGTGTTGTATTTTTTTGGCAATAGTTTTAATGTGTGAAAACCTATAAAAAAGCCAATTTTAGTGAAAAGTGAACCTAATTACCCAATTATTTTGCCACTCAGTTGGGGTTGACTGGAAAAACTTTGGCTATTTGTAAAGAATAGCCTAGACTGTTTTGGGAGTTGGCTGTGAATGACATGTCATAATGAGTTTATACTCAACACTCTCTTTTAGTTGAAAAGACAATTGAGGACCTGAATTAGCTAAGGTGTCATGTGTAGAGGCTCTCAAAACAGCCCATGAAGATTTTTTCCAAAACAACCAAAGTGACCTTGGGTTGACTAGCTTCTAAACCAACCGGACCCAAAGTCCGAACATGCTATAACATCTACACTATATATAGGAGTGTGGATGCAGAATGGAAGTTTTTTTGGAATGGCTACTAAAAGTCATTTTATTGTAGCTTTAATGCCAGCTTTAATGGCTACTAAAATGCCCATATTTTTCTATCTAGTCCATCTCCAATTGTAAGGGTTGAAAATGTAACTTAAATTATTATTTTCCACCTCATTTAATCCCCTCTCGTTAAGTCTTATAACTTAAGGTTTTAACTCTCATTTTCTCTTATTAAATCCTATATTTAAGTTATTTTTCACTAATAAATGCTACTAATTAGATTTATGCCAATATTTTTAACAATATAAATCCATATATTTTAATATTGACTCAAAAACAAAACCATTCTTTATCAAAGTGGTGGCTAAGCAATTAGTTCAACCATCCAAATCTTGATCAACCTATGAAGTCATATGTAGGTAATAAAATTTTTAAAATATAAATAAATATAGAAAATTATAAAAATATAGAAAACATTAGACATATTTATGATATTTTTATTAATTAACTTAAAAAATAAGTGTAATAAACAAGAATTATTTTTATTGATAATAAAAGATTAAATACATAATTTAGAACTGACCAAAAATGAAATTATTTTACTATTTGGCAAAGATCAACAATTCAACTTTTGGGTCAAATGTGTTAACATTTAATGTCATAAATAATGAATAAATAAATTTTGCAAAAGAACATTCAAACACATGTATAATATCATATAATTATCATATTAAACAAGAAGTAAGTGTGGCATATTAAAATCATTTTTACATACACAAATAAAATAAAATTATAGAAAAATTTAAACACATCTATAATTTTATATTTACACTACAATTAAAAATATGAATAAAATTGTGAAATTTTTTTATGACTAAAATACTCAATTTTGAATTAGTCCCTATTTAATTGAGGTTTAAATTATAAATTGAAATACTTCTTTTCAACTCATTCAATTATCTTTATTTAAATCTTATATTTCTTTAATATATAAACAAAAAAAATTAGATAAAAAATATAAAACATTATAAAAAGAAGAATCTAGCCAAATACATAAGTCTATCAATGATAGTTGAAACTTTACAACTTGATTCAATTATCACATATTTAAATGAAATATTTATGTAATCAAATTTGAATTTTACAATCTATACATTCAATTAATAGTAAAAAACAAAAAATACATTTTTAATAAGATGCTTACTAGTTTGTAGTTCCATAAAACACCGTTTCTCACTTTCTCTCTCAATTTGAACAGTTTCCAACCCGACGGTCCCAACTCCAGTTGGCCCCTCCTCCCTCTGCACAAACTTCGGAGTCTCCGCTCCCTGATTCCTGTACTACAAACACTCACCTAACTTGATTTCGTCTCGTTGATTTCGCCCTCATAATCTTCACTTCTTAACTATACTCACCTACTCTGCTCTTCTGCTTTGGAGGCTCGTTCCATTTCTCTCCTCATTTCAACAATGGAGGCCACATCTCTCTCGACCTCGCTTTTATCTCGTCTTCCTTCTTCCTCGCTTTCTCACAAGGCCCTTGATCATGTCTTCCTACCATCTTCCCCTGCGTCGTTTCAAACAAGAACCTTGTCTTATCGAACCTCTATTTTGAACACCGGATCCCACTTCCAGCTGTCTGAATCGAAGTGTCGAAGAAATCTCATTTCTTGCTGTTCTGGGAATGGGGCAGACAACAGAGACAATGATGTTCCCATTGAAAAGCGTATGCCTTATTTCAGAAACCACTCTTCACATTTTCTTAATATAAGTTGATTCTGAATTTTCTGGAGCATGGTGGCAGGGTATCCAGCATTTCCAACTGTGGTGGATATTAACCAGATTCGCGAGATTTTGCCCCACCGGTGAGTCATCTTGCTGTGATTTCAACATATTGTCTTGAATGACATCTCACACGATTTTAAGTTTGAATTTGGGTTGTTTGTGTTAGGTTTCCGTTCCTTTTGGTGGATAGAGTGATTGAGTACAATCCTGGTGTTTCAGCTGTTGCTATCAAGAATGTAACAATAAACGATAACTTCTTCCCTGGACATTTCCCTGAGAGGCCTATTATGCCTGGTGTTCTCATGGTCGAGGTATATTGTTCATGTCGTGGTTCGGTTTTATGGACTAATGACATATTTTCTTTCTTATTTTATGCATTTTGTGTTTAAAGCAAAGGCAAACGTGCCATACATTTTCCTAAGTGTGGCGGCTATTCAGTTGTGTTGTTCTGTGTATGATTCTCTTACCAATATCTAGCCTCTGAAGTTTGATAATATGTTCTAAACTTTTAATAAGTGCCTGTCTATGTGCTTTCGAGGGAACCAATTTTCAGTTTAGTTTCTCTTAGCATTTGAAACCACACCATTTTAATATGAAATGGTTTCATTTTCTTTTCTTTTTTTTTAACAAAATCTAATTGAACTCATCTCTTTGAAATTCTGAAGTGATAACATTCCAATCCCAAAAGGTTTCTGATAAAAAAAAAAAAAACATCCCAATCCCAAAAGTGATTCCATTTTAGGTTGAGAACTGAACCAATGAAATACATGGAATCTGAACCAATGTTTTGTAAACTGTAATTGAATCTTGAACTATAGAGAAGGTTAAGTCATACCACAAAGTGTAACATAAATTGTACCAATAAAAAAATGTGTATTATAAATTGTAAGATGTTTAGATGATATACCATGTACACTAGAAGCATTAGATGTATAACCAATTTTAACTTAATTATCAAAAAACAAAAACAATTTTAACTTGAAAGCCAAATCTTTACATCAACACCCCATCTTTCTCAACAAGCTATCTAGTTCAGATCATGATGCTATTCTTATCATATCATAAATTATAAGATTTTGACAACTATGATCTGAACTAGATATTATTAGCATCATTATCATCATCTAATAGTGGGGGAATCTGCAACAAGATTATGGAGTGGGTCCTGATTATTCCAGAGTTCAAGGGGGAATGTAAAAGGTCTTTTGGGTTTGGTTTTTGGAATGTAATGAGTTCTGATAGTTGGGGGAATTGATGTTCTATTCTGGATTTTTTTTTTAATTTTTTTTTTCTGGTTGGAGTTGTTTTCTTGTATTGGGTGATAACTCATTACCTGTAGCTTATGCGTTACTTTTCCTTTTTTATTGAATAAATTTTCCTTTTTTCCTATTATAAAGAAAACAACATCACCATCTAAGCTTTACTCCAATTATATGTATATGGGGTTGGGTACATGAATCCTGTTTTGCCATTCCATTCTGTTTAGTGCCATATCCATTGTTAAATTATTAGTGCTAATCGTTTCTTACTACTTCAACCCATGTCCTTTTTGTTCTGCCCTTGGCCCTTCTAATCCCTTCAGCTTGCAACAGATAGCTTCTTCTTATGGGTGTTGTAGATGGTTCATTTATGAATGTTATCAAACCATCTTAGTCTACTTTTTCTTATTTTATCACCTATTGGAGCTACTCCTAGGTTCCTTCAAATGACTTCATTTCTAACCCCATCATTTCTAGTTTTTTTACTCATCCATCTCAGCATATACATTTCTACCATACTCATTTTTTTGTACATGTTTCTTGACTGCTTAACACTTTGCTCCATATTGCTGGTCTTAGAACTGTTTTATAGAAATTTTCTTTTAGCTTGAGTTGTATTCACCTATTATTAGCATATGGATAGAATGATATGATCTTTACTGCTGAAATGAAATGATTTAGGCAGATGCTAATGGAGGATTGAGGTACATGCCCAAATTGTCTCTACTCTATATCAGTCATGGTATCTGATTGGATTAGTTCTGAATTTCAATGATGATCAACTTTCTGATGTAGCTAATATGTCATTGGAAATCCCTGTGTCTTACCATGAGTATGTAGTTTCTGAACTGGTTGGTATATTGTGGTAAATTTCATAAGATGGGCAATAGTTGAGAATACTTACAGTACAGGCGTGTGGTGTGTCACCTATAGTCCCTTGATGACTTGATGGTTTTCCTTGTGAGTCTAAAGTAAACTTAATATTGTAGAAATAGGCATTTTGTATTTATTTTGTTTGTGATTATATATGGGTTATCTCCACCAGTGCAGACTTTTCTTACACTGCCAATCCCAAGTCTGGATAAATGAGGGTTGTGTCAGCCTGGCAGCCAAAATAAAAACCTTTAGCCAGTCCAATATGAATACAAAGTAGTTGACTCCAAATAGTTGGGACTAAGGCTGAGTTGAGTTGAGTTGGATGTCATTGTGTATGGTTGGGGGTTGGGGTTGAAGGTGGGAAATAACTCTAAACCTTTTTATCTTTTCAAATACAGTTGGAGAAATTATGGATTACTTTTAATTGCTTGATCCAATAAATTGTTTGTTGACGTTGAATTGTTCTATGCTTTCATCATAGTATGTTAGAACAGGGGAACCCGAGCCCTTATATGAGAACATGCAATTGGTGTATGAGGTGTATAAGAGGAGAGGTACACATCAGCAATATAACATAATGATGTAAACACATTGTAACAAGAATGTAATAAAAAGGTCTAATCGAATTGTAACAACTTACCAGGTTGCAATATAAATAAGAAGGAAGAGGGGAAGAGGGAAGAGGCAAGAGGCAGGAAGGAATTAATTTTGTTTCTCTCTCTCACTCTCACTCTCTCTCTCTCTCATTAGAGCTTGGATGCCAAATACGAGAGCCACATCCATGGAGGTGAGAGTTGACTAGGTGGAGGTCGAGCTACACCATGTCTCCGGTGACGTATGAGAAATCAAAGAAACAATGGCAGTCGTCCTACGTCATTTGGAATAGAGCACGTTGGAAGTGGGTAGGGAAGTCGAGCAAGAAGGGGGTAGCCAAGGCAGCAGTCAGCAGGGAAGCTCAAGCACAAACAAGAACACCAAGCTGATCTTTCCAATCTTCTCCAGGGGCAATCCAATTTCTTGGATCTACAGGGTTGAGAGATTTTTTGAATACAATGAAACACCTGGACACGATTGAGTAGCCCTTGCAGCCCTCCACCTAGAAGGGGAAGCAATCCTCTAGTACTAGTGGTACCGGCGAGGACACCCACAATTATCTTGGATGGATTTCACCGACTCCCTCTGTGTGTGATTCAAAGCCTCATGTTGTGAAGATTTTGATGAGAATCTTGCAAAACTGAGGCAGATTGGTAGCATGAGAGAGCAAGGTTCAAAATATCGATACACACCAAGCTGGTCTTTCCAGCCTTCTCTGGGGCAATCCAATTTCTTGGATCTACAGGGTTGAGAGATTTTTTGAATACAATGAAACACCTAGACACAATTGAGTAGCCCTTGCAGCCCTCCACCTAGAAGGGGAAGCAATCCTCTAGTACTAGTGGTACCAGCGAGGACACCCACAATTATCTTGGATGGATTTCACTGACACCCTTTGTGTGTGATTCAAAGCCTCATGCTGTGAAGATTTTGATGAGAATCTTGCAAAACTAAGGCATATTGGTAGCATGAGAGAGCAAGGTTCAAAATATCGATACATGCCGATACCCCAGTAGGGGTATATTGGCCTGTATCGAGGCTCACCTCTCCATTTTTTTAGTTTTTTCTTCAATCTGGTTCATAGGGGTTGGTTTAAGGTCCGTCTACCCCCTGAACCGTGGTCTAACCTGAAAGACCCACTATAGGGGCATATCGGGAAGCCCCTAATACAATACGGTCCGATACATATTGAAATTTTGAACCTTGTGAGAGAGTACTAGATGGAGTTCAAAAGATTGGCAGTCAGAAGAAAAAACTTTTTGAGAAGAAATGACTATTTAGAAAGTTGCAAAAATTCAAAAGAAAGTAGCAGAAATCAGAGTTCAAGAGGAGAGAAGAGAAGAAGAAGAAGAAGAAGGTGGCAGCAACTTGGGTTCAGAGAGAGAGATTTTTCGAACATAATCTCTTCTCTTACTCCCTTCATTCTATTTCATTAAGTTAAACTTTAGTAATTTACAGAGAAGCCCCTAGTTGAGCAGAAAATTAAAAAGAGATAACATAAGAAAGAATAAAGCCCAGATTAAGGCCCATTGCAGCAAAGAACATAAAAGATAAAAAAGGATAAACAGCCTATGGGCCATTCGGCCCATCTTCTCTACACTCCCCCTCGAGCTTAGCATAGATGTCAATCATGCCAAGCTTGCCAGTATCATGCTGAAGTTTAGCCTTGGGAATGCCCTTGGTGAGGAAATCAGCTAATTGTCCTTCAGAGGTGATGAAAGGTAGACACACTTCTCTAGAAGCCACTCTTTCTCGAATGAAGTGTTTGTCAACTTCAATATGTTTAGTTCTGTCATGTTGCACTGGGTTGTGAGCAATGTTGATGGCGGTGCAAATAGGAATGACCCATACTAGCCCAGTATTATCCAAAGCCTATAGGGCCCTGAGCCAAGAGAATTATCAGCAACAACTTGGAGATTTACTACAGCGGTATGTAGATGTCTTCCAAGAGCCATTAGAATTACCTCCATCACGGGAACATGATCATAGGACTCCTCTTTTGCTGGGAGCACCTCCAACAAATTTAAAACTAAGACCTTACCACTATCCTTATTTTCAAAAAAAAAAAAGCAAATTGAGAAACAAGTCCAAGAGCTGTTAACTAAGAAATTTATCTAACCTAGCTACAACCCGTTCCCCCCCCCCACCCCCCCCATTCTTCTAGTTAAAAAGAAAGATGGATCATTGGAGGTTTTGCATTGATTACCGAACTCTTAAAAGGAGGGTAAAGTATCAGCTGACTCAGAAAAACTATTAAGGACTTGCGGGCATTCTTGGGGTTGATAGGATACTACAGCTGCTTTATTAAAGGTTACGGACTGATTGCAGCCCCACTAACAGCCTTGCTCAAGAAAGATGCTTTCTCTTGGTCCAACAAAGCCCATGAAGCATTTGAGGCCCTCAAGACAGCTGTGTCATCTCCACCAGCTTTGATACTTCCAGATTTTACCAAAACTGTTGTAATAGAGTGCGATCCTTCGGGTCTCAGAGTGGGTGAAGCATTGATGCAAGATGAACAACCCATTGCCTTTTTTTTCGAAAGGCTTTATCTTCTCAACAAGGCAGCACATCAGTGTATGCTT